GCTTTAATGCAATAATATACATACATAAATGTAAAATAGACTTGGACTTTTATTTTGAAGAGGTTCCGGTTCCTTGAAATTGATCTCTGAGTAACTCATATTTTCTGAGCTCGGCTAGAGAAAGTGAGGGAGAGAGCTCTACTAACACCTGCAAAATTCAGAAGAATCGTATTACTAATCTAATATTGGTTTTAACTTAACATGCTGATTTTTGTATTGGTTTTTATACATTAATTATTTACGAAATTTTAAAACAAAAAAGCTAGGTTGGGTCAACCCGACCCAAATCTTTGACTAACTTAACATGTTGATATGACATTGATAAACATACCATCACAAAATCTTCATATTCAACAACCACAGAATCGACTTCATCCTTCATGGAAGTTGGGTCTGCATCAGCGTCTAAAACCTACAATTAAGAAGACAATTTTTTTTTTTTTTAATTAATGCGTTATGCACTTAATCTAGACAGCTACACATGAGTGTTTCTTTTTCACTGAATATAGACACTATGACTTAACAAGAACTTCACTTAATGTTTTTACACATGAATCTTTTACATATTTGCGCTTCTTATCTCAGCTATTTATTGTACAAAAAAGCAGTTGAAAGTGCAAACTCAGGATATACATAAGGGAATAAGGTAAGAAATCTGACCTTGCGCCTTGCAGCATGGAACCAAGCATCTGCACACAAGGCATACATGTCTGCACCAGTAAAATTTGAGGGACATTTCTTTGCTATTTCATAAAGAGACACGTCTTCATGCAACTTAAATTTCCTAGTCAGTGCTTTTAGAACCCTAAAATTTTTACGATTCAGTGTGGAAATCTTTATGAGATTCAGATTCTTTAAAAGAAATATAAGCAAAGCAACCAACCTCTCCCGATAAGATGGGTCTGAATTCACTCCAACATAAAGCAGCTTATCAAAACGACCAGGCCTTAAAAGTGCTGCATCTATTAGATCTGGTCTATTGCTTGCTCCAATTATGAATAAGTCCTACAATATTAGAAATTTGATAAATCATGATGAAGAAAACAGGTACTATGAACTATTAGCAGCATACCTGGGATGAATCATTCAGGCCATCAATCTCTGCAAGCATCTGATAACACAAAACCAAAACAAGCATTCACTGTTGAGATAATTTGACTGAAAGTCCCATGTTGATGACAAGAGAAAAGGGTTCCATGCCTATAAAATATAATGAAAGTAAGAATTCACCTGAGAAACTACACGATCCATAACTCCACCAGAATCACCAGAAGCACCTCTGGCTGGAGCAAGAGAATCGAGTTCATCAAAGAAGATGACACATGGACGGGCTGCTCGAGCCTGCAAAACAACCCCATTCTCATGATTTATTTATTTACTAAATATATGTAGTGGATAGAACAATAGAAGAATTTACCTTCTGAAATATGTCGCGTACATTTTTCTCTGATTCTCCAATGTACATGTTGATTAATTCAGGCCCTTTGACACTTAAGAAATTAAGAGAACATTCGGTTGCAACAGCTTTGGCCAGCAACGTCTGTGAAAAAAAGATTATTACTATTACTATTATAAATTTTTAATATTTATAGGACATACATAATTCACAAAATAAATGATGATAAAACATAAACATACTTTCCCAGTACCAGGAGGACCATAAAGAAGAACACCAGAGCGCTTACGCAGACCAGATGAAAACAAATCTTTATGCAGAAGGGGGAGCTGTAAATGCATTACCAATAAGTCACAAATTAAGCCAAAGGTTACAATAAGCAACTGGAATTCAAGATTCCATTCCTATGTACCTGAACTGTATCAAGAATAGATTTTTTCACATCTTCCAGCCCACCAACATCCTCCCACTTAACATTAGGGACCTACACATACAGAGACAAGTGAAACCTCAAACTTAGTATTGATCTTAGCAACAATTACAAAACCATTTTTTTATTTTACACACCTTGGGAGTCCCCAAAGCCGATGCGTTCCTTTTCTTTGACCTCTCCAAAGCTTTGACCATGAATTCTTTGCTGTCACCCAACTTCTCATAGCTACTGCCATTAATAGGAATCAAACTTGAACTAGCATCAGCAACTAAAGCCCTAATATCCCTTGGCATGAAACCGGATGTCTGTCCAACCATATCTTTTACAACATCCTCTGTACAAGTCTGCATTAGCATATACATCACTCATTAGATTTTAAGATAAATATATGTATACAGTAAAATATTCTTATTCTTATTTCTACTTACATCTGGAACCAATTCAGGGATAAGGTGAAGTGACTGGGATAGCATTTCCACTCTCTGGTCTTCGGTCAAAGCTCCCATTTTCATTTCATGGCTGAAACAACGCCTAATTGTAGGTGGCAACCCTTCAGAGTTATCAGCAGCTGCAACTAGCAGCACAGGATGGGTATTAATCGCGTTCATATGCTGCATAATGAGAGTAAAACAGTGAGCAACCAATGGATAATTGGCATGTTTTTATGGCAGAAATCATTATCTGAATACATCAACCTCTGCTTCTTCTTCTTCTTCATCTTCATAATCATCATCTTGTCTAGATGGCTCAGTGAATTCCCTGATGACAGATGCAACTTCAGAATTCATACCAACTTGATCATTTTGTGAACCATCATTAGAGCTCAAATTGCTGAAAGCATCAAAATGGCGCAGCAGAAGAATAGTTGGTGCATATCTGCAATAACACAAACACAGTCATACACATGTTATCAGGAATTATTTTACTATGAAACACGTAACAAGAAAGTAGATCATTTCACATCATTATGGTTGTAAATACCTACGAGCTGCACTGAAAGCTTGAGCCAACATGGAAGAAGCCTTCCTCTCTGAAGATGCAAGTAAATCATGACAACTATACTCAACCACATGCAGCCCAAGTTGAGAAGCAACATGCTTCACAACAGTCCTCTTCCCACAACCAGGTAAACCAAACAAAAGAACAGCAACCCTGAATTTTGATGAAAGTGCTGATGGGCATAAAGTTGGTGTGATAATAGAGGCCAGGGTCTTTACTGTGTCTTGATGTAAAGGTGCAAAACCTCTTTGTCCAGAAAGTAAAAGATCTGGAGGAAGAGCAGATGGAGTACTTGCTGCAAGCACAAGGGCAGTTTGGGCACGATTTATTCTAAGAATCGGTTCATTTGAAGGTTCCATTGCAACCACCTAAGGACATGAGCCAGATTATTTGATATGTGGTACTGTGTAAAGATATTGGAAAGCACAGAAAAAATGGGATACCTTAAAGTATAGATTGGTATCATTTTGTTTCTTTTGGCTACAAGGAATGCATATGGCTGATTTGCAGTTCCAATTGATGAAGATACTGAAAACATCACCTCTGGCAAGACATCTATCTATGGAAAAGTACTCGTTTAAGGCCAGATCGATCTTTTCCTGACGATTTTCAGTTTCAATGGATGAAGTTCCTACAAGAGAACCAATGGTACCACATTCTGGTATCTTTACAAAAGACACCCTCAAATGTGAGGCATATCTTGGTGATTTTGTCAAAGGCTCAATATCTAGGTTAACAGAGAAGTCCTCATTCGGTTCGTTTTCTTGTTTAGTCTCAAATAAAGAAGCCAGTTTTGTTTCTCCATGGTGAAGAAGCAATCTCAAGCATGAGGTATGCAAACCAAGATTAAATGCTAAAAGAGGAGAGACATAAGCAACTTCTGTAGCCAATGGTACATGATTCATCATAGGGAAACTACATGAAGGAAATGCAAGCATTGCATATGAAGAATCATATGAGAGTGATTCGTTGTGAGATGTGATATCATGATCACTGGGAGGATCAAGAGCCACAACTTGACTGATTCTTTGTATCTGGGAATCCACATTTTTAACAATTACCTAAACATAAAACATAGAACAAAAAGGTGAACAGGAGAAAACAACTCATGACTGCAGAAAAAATCCTAAGAAATTAGAACTAAAAGTTGCAGTAAAAGAACAAGTTTAAAGCTTAGACATCAGGACTTTGAACATTGTACAAACTAATTGGTATGCAGGCAACTAAAGCTGAACTTTAACTTCAATTCTGGCTATGATATCTCTAACTGCTAGACTTATAACAAAACACAAACTTCTCTCTTAAAGATCATGGTGCATCTGCTGAAAAACAGCCAATAATGACCCTTATGAAACCATTGGAGATTTAAAATCATGAAAGCGTCATCTTTTTCTTCGATCTTATTTCACACTTTCAAAGGTTCAGAAGAATGAATAAGAGAATGATTAAATTACCAGTGAACCCGAGGTAATCAGTAGCCTTTTGAGAAGCGATGTAGAAAGCCCAATCAAGGCAGCATCATCGAGAGAAGCCACCTTCTTTCCTAATTTGTCCTCAGACAATCTAAGAATACCCGCACGCAACTGCAACATAGTCGGTGCATCGCCATCGCCGTCGCCGAGGGAGTATTTGTTAACCGAAGCACCGTCAATTCCATTTATTTTCTCTTTACTGGATGAATTGAGCACGGAATTGAGAAGTGATTTCGTAGAAGAAAGCACGAGAGGCTTCCTTCTCCCCACCATTTAAGCTCTGTGAGAACCTCGCAACTACAGAACACCAATTGAACTGTAGTGAGGAAACAGAGTCAGAAAATCATCTATAAACAAGGGTTATTGCGCAAGTCAAGAAAATCCATTCGGAGGACGTTGACGCCATAACCGAATAATTTCAACGTCATCAACAGCCAGGGGGGCGCATTTAGCTGGATATGGGAGGAGAGGCCCCCAACGCTTTGCCATGGACGAGCGTATATTAGTGGAAATTGGGCTTATCAAAAGAGGCCCACTTTTTTGGTCTTCAACTCCATTCCAAGTCCAACAATGCAATAAATTTCGAAGGCATAATAGTTTTATATATTTTTGTAATATATGATTCTAATTTACTAATTAGATTGTTATGCTGTACAAAGATTAAGTGATTTTTTAAAATCAATTGTTCACTTGATTTTGTTTAATCTATAAATTCTGTGAATTGTTGATATGATCTTGTTCAATTATGTAAGCTTTATGAATAGTTTGAATCTTAAAAGTCTTGAATAAGTAGGTTGTGTTTATGAATATATAGGTTATGTGAACTTTGAAACTTTGTTATGTTAATTTTGAAAGCATTTGAACTCCAATTTTATTAGTTTAATGCTCAAACATACAAAACTATACGTTTCAAATGCTGGATTCAAAACCTTTGGCGATCAAATATAAAAAGATAAACAGAAATTGGCGATAAAGTATTTAAGATATTAATAAAATCTATCACTGTAGGTTCCTACTAAGCCATAATAACATAACACATATCTTATCAACACTGTAGTAGCATTATACACAAACCTTTTATTGACCTCTATAAATACACAAACATTACTAATTAGTGATTACACACCTAAGCTTTCCCTGACAAAAGTAAAGCTCCAAGTGATTTGGGATCCATAACAGGAGCTTTACATGCAAAATCCCGACAAACAAGAGCCACCACATTTTCTGCTACACCATTGCTCTTTGCCATTGCAGAAATATTCGGGTTCTTCTCCTCCCAAAATCCCATCTCTTCTTCATCACTCGGATCTATATGTATCACCTAGTATAACAAAAAAGAAGCAATTAAACACTCACATCTTGTCATACATTGCTTAAAAGTTAAAAGTCAAAAGACTTTTGACTTACAGTTTTGTTAGGATCATAAGATGCATGAGCTGAGACAAGCATGTGCTCCATCTGAGGAGATGCTTTCTTCCCCACCAAGACAACTTGTTTCTTTGAAGGAACCGCAAGCATATCAGCAGCACAACACATCAATGGAACAGCCACTGGGGCTTCCTTCAATCTCTTCTCAAAAACCGCCTGCAATTCAAATTCATAACCAAATATTAAAAAAAAAAAAAAAAAAATTTACATGAACTCGAGTCAAAGTAAGAAATCAAACCAAAAGATGTTCAGCATTTTGCTTATAACGATCGGATCTTTCCCCAGTGAACATGGACGCGAGCCTCACGAGATTTATTGCTGAAACAGAGTTTCCGGAAGGTTCTGCTCCATCATGGTCTTCCTTCACACGGAGAAGAACCGAATCATCTTCTCCTGTGGTGTTAAAATAACCACCTCCAGTTTTGTCAAGGAACACCTCATCCTAAAAACCAGATGAAGAAAACAAGTTAAAATTTGGTTCATGAAGTAGAAATATATGATAATGGAGTTCACGAGATGGAATACTTGTGTTTCTTGAAGTTCAACTGCCCAGGATAACCATGAAATCTCACCACCATACTCATACACATCTAACAACCCTGAAATCAAAAATGCATAATCATCCAAGAATCCTGGAGCTTTTGAAGGTCCTTTTCTGAAACTGTGTTGCAGCCTTCTAGATTCGGGGTTGTAAAGATTTTCCTTTATGAACACCAAAGATCTCTTTGCAACCTCCATGTACTCCTGTGGCTGAGTTTACAAAAATAATTAATTTAAAACATGAAAATGAGTAAACTTTTTCATCTTTATTTCAAGATTCAATCTTACATCAGTTCCAGCAACAGGAAAGTTGAATTTTGTTACATCAGGTTCATTTTTGAGGATCTTGGATGCTCTAGCAAACGATGAAACTACAAGCCCGTTCCAAGATACAATGACCTGTGGATTTGGTCTGTTAAGCGCAAATGACAAGAATACCCTTGTGATAAATATATATAAAAGAAACTGAATTTGACCTTGTCATCAAGATGGGGTCGAGGACGTTTTGATCTTGCATCAAAAAGTTTTTTACGACTTTCACCGAGAATTTGGTGATAATTCTCCAGTGGAATACCATATTTTGATGCGATTGTGTCTGCACTGTTTCTTTCAATGAGTACATTTTTCCCTTTGAATTCTTTGTCTGGATCACTCCTTGAAGAAAGATCACAGTTTCCTGATTTCTTGATGTAGTAATGCTCCTTAAAAAGACTCGCATGCTCTCCAACTATGTCATCAACCTTAACAACCATCAAATACAGAGTGAAATGCAAGAAATAATTTGTTTACTTCTAGCATTTAGCCTTATAGTACATACTATGCAAGGGTGTCAACTCAAGATGAAAGCCAAAATGGAACGTTGCTGCATATTTTGTATAAAAAACCACTCTGTTGCATAAATGCACATTTAACCCTTGTGTAAACATATCAATAAACATGTAGCTACATACCTCGTTGTTGCTCCACACGTAAAAAGCACCTTCTTTTTTCTTAGTAGAGTTTTCAGATTCAGCACTATCAGCATCCTCAGCAGAAAAGATTTCACCATTGGGTCCAATCATGTCTCTCCTCAAATAATCAAGAATATCACGTGCAACACAAGAGTAGAACACATCTTTTGTGATAGAGAAAACATCAAGATACACATTGGCAAGTTGACCTTGATCATACAACATCTTCTCAAAATGTGGAACTGCCAACAATTTATCATACAACATCATCTCAAAACTATAAGGTCTTAATAAGAAAAATTACAAATGAAAGTACATTGTTATTTCTTGCATTTACACTAACCATGCCAGCATTCATCTACACTGTAACGATGAAAGCCACCACCAACATGATCATGAACACCACCTCTTGCCATGCATTGCAAGCTAAATGACACCATTTTCAGATGTTGTTCAGCTTCACTTGTTTTCCCTAAATCCCACAATTTCTTTGATTGATATATCATTGCTTGAGGCTCGGATGGGCGGGGAAACTTAGGGGCAGAACCAAATCCACCATATTTTGGATCATAACTTTCAGCAAGCTATTACAATTTACATACATAAAAGCAAAAAGAAAATTAAAACACATAAAACCCAATGAAAAAGAAAGCATAATTAGTTGTTTACAGATTTTGTGCAACTGCGTAATGCAGTCTGGGCAAGTCCTTCAGACAACTTGTCAGACAATGCAGTGGCAGATAATGCTTCTGACAATTGTTCGATAGCAAATGTCCCACTTTTAACAAGCACTTCTCTTTTACTCTCCCAAGCCTCTTCCACTTTCCTAAAACACCAATAAACAGAGTATAAAGGGATTGTTTCTTTGTGACTTGACTTAATGGGCTAAATGGGTTATGCACTTAATGCCTTGATGCATTAAGACATCTACCCTTTACCTATTTGTCCTTTTATCCTCCAAACTCCTCTCGTGTTAAAATTAGTTTAAAAAGATCGGTTGGAATGCAAGGGTAGAATGGTCATTTAGTCTCATCCAGATGGATTGTTTGGTCTGGAAAAGAAACAGACTTTATGTATGCAACACTTTATCCATACATACATCATTACTTGTTCAACTGTACAGGACTTAAAAGACAGAAACAGTCCTTGTTGCTTTTCTTTTTTAGGGTGATTTCGAGTTCAGACGTAGTCCCTTTGACCAAAAAAGTCAAAACCACCTAGCTTCTTCTAGAAAGATTGAATAGAAAGCTTAAACATGGTACAAACTAACGAACCTGAGTATGGTTTTGAAACCTGGTCTTCCATATTTATCATCAGGAGGGAAGTAAGTTCCACCCATCAAAGGCTTCAAATCAGGAGAAAGAAAGACACTTAATGGCCACCCTCCACTACCATATAGAGCTTGGACATAGGTCATGTACACCTGAAAAGAAAAGTAAGGAGATGTTTCTTTTTTTACTTAATGGAATAGCCTTTAGCCTATTTGCCTCCAACTCCTCTCGTATTAGAATTAAAGTATATATATATATATATATATATATATATATATATATATATATTGTTAAAATTGATAGATATTGTGAATTTGTTTTTCGGTAATGGTAAAATGGTCATTTAGTCTCATTATTCAGCCCACAAAAGAAACAAACTTTATATATAAAGTATAAACATTGACATCACTACCAATTCAGCCACTTTAAACATATAGAACTTAACAGAAAAAACAGCCCCTAGACAAGTAATTGAACAAGATTCCCAAATCATTGGGTTGCCCAATAAAAATTGCAACATTTACATTTCTATGTTTGGGAAGTTTTCAGTTTACAATAATCTATTTGCAATTTCTATTGTTCTTTTTGGATGGGATCACCGAAATTAATAAATCTTGAATGTTATGGATAATACTTTTTGGTATTTTCCTGATACTGTTTGCACTTCCATAATAAATTAATAGGAAACTCCTTTACCTTATCTACATCAGGGCGTTCTTCACGATCCACCTAATTGGAAGCAAAATTAAAATTCAGAATTCCAATTGAAAATAAGAGTCGAGTCTGAAAACTATAGTCCACACCATGTCCATGGTTTAATTTGAATATGATCTTTTCAAGGTTATGCCCTCATAAGTAGTGTGTTATTTAAAAGTGTTAGAAAAAAATGGCTTATAAATCAAGAACCAATCTCATTAACCATAAATTAACTCACTTTGATACTAATAAACCCATCGTTCAGTAATTTAGCAACCCCATCATCTTCGAAAGATTCTACCTCCATCACATGACACCTGAACCAATCATCACATAAATTATCACCCATTTTATTCCCTATAACTTTCTAAAAATACAAAGAAATACATTTCTTTTTATAATTAGTAATACAAGATTATTGTAAAGAAGGGAATCATTCATCAAATCCTAAATAAACACAATCTTATTTTCATTTTAAGATTAGAATTGGTACTTTCTTCACAATGAATTCAAATTTTCCATGTACATATTTTTTCTTTTAATCTCCAAAACTATTCTAATATCTGTTGCATCAAATCTT